GACCGACGAACCGCCGCGGAGGAAAACTGCCTCCTGAGCAGGCTGTTATACAGCTGAAAGCCCAGCAAGGGCAGCGAACTGCAGCCCCGGCTGCGGACACGCACGCCCAGGTGCGACACCAGGATGCAAAAACCGCGGCCATGCCGGCCCGCGCCCTATGTCGGGGCGCCAGCAGCAAAGCGGTTAGGCCCCGCGGGGACCACCAGAGAGCACGCGCAGCGCGGGGTGGGAGCAAACGCGGGCCCCGGGGGGAACGGCCGGGGCCCCCGTGCTAGAAAATCAAGACGTCGGATCTCGGGGGTCTTCGCTGCGGTGCAGTCGGCTCGTATCCTGAGGATGCGCGAGAAGCGCGCAAGGGCCTCGGGCGCCCAGAGAGCACATGCAGCGCGGGGTGGGAACTGAAGCGGGCCCGGGGGGGGAACGGCCGGGGCCATCTTCCTGCGCATGCCGTGAGGGATCTCCAAAGTTCGATGTGTCGATGCGTCCAGCCAGACCCGAGCCAGCAATCTTGTGGTGCACGTGGACATCTACGCGTGCGTGCAAAGCTGCGGTGGCCTGCCCTGCGGTGTGCACAAGCCATGTGGTGTGCTCAGGCTGGGAGCGCCTGGTGTCCTCAAGGGCATACCTGTGGTGCACACAGGCCTGGTGTGTACACCCCGTGTTGGGAAATCAAGACGTCGGATCTCGGGGGTCTTCGCTACGGTGCAGTCGGCCCGTATCCCAAGGATGCGCGAGACGGGTGCAAGGGCCTTGGACGCCCACTTCGAAGCTGTTCGAGCGGGACGCGGCCAACGAAAGTGGCCAAGGATGGGCCGAAGATGCAAGGATGCAAGGGCACCCTTTGGAAGGGTGCCCATCCTTACAATGCGGGTCGACTGTAGGAGCTCGACCACAAGAGACCTTCCACAAGAGACCCAACCCTGAGACCCCAGGACGTCCACTGCCTCTTGGTGTGGGAACATCGCGCTCTCCACAGCAAAACCACCGAAACCCCAGAGACCCAGGGCACCCTGGAAGCAAGCAGGGTGCTTCTTGGCATGGGTCTCCACTATGTGCGCACAGCCTTTGACACGGGGGACTTCATGCACTACACGGGGAAACGAAAAGGTATCGATACCGCTACTCCCTGGACCTCTCCTGGGGTGCGTTCTGACCAGAATTCCGAGGCGAATCCAACGGTGGCGACGAGGGCCTCCGAGGAGGCCCAAAAAGGGGAAAACGGGCGAGGGGGTAGAGGTATGGGTACCTTTTCCTCCTCTCACTACACGTGATCCCCTCCCCTGACGGGGCCGCGCCGAGACCTCCAGCTTCTCGCCATCGCTCGGACGTCCATTCCCCGTGTTTTGTTCGGTTTCGTGTGTGGCTTTTTCGCCACATGATCAACGATGCTCCTCGATGGTCCTCGCCAAAGGAAAAATGCACACGTCCGAGCGATGCCAAGGCTTCGCGCCGCCGCAGAAGCGTCTGACGGCCCTTTCCCGGGCCCATGCGGCCTCCGACCTCTGTGCGGCCGCGGGCCGGACGGCCGCTCGGGGCTCAGATCCAACAGGGGATCGTGTCGGGGATCCACACGTCGCATTGTTCATTTCCACAGTCGGGGGCTTGACCTAAGGAACCCAAAATAAGGAACGAGGCCCCTTTTTTCCATGAGTTGACCTTCGATTTCCGATCGAAAACATTAGGAAAGCCTGAGGCAAGCTGTGACACACTTAAGGAACGCGGAGCCCCTCCCCAACGAAAAGGGTTTCTTGTTCAGGGCCCCGACTGTTATTACTCGAAAGTACTTTGATTTTTCGGGGGCCAAGATCCTTTCATTCCTGGGCCTCTTCCAGGCCACTAGGAGGCCAGGAACGATTAGAAACGAGCACAATTAGAAATGAGCACGAGTAGAAATGAATGTGACCCGGGTCAATGCAGACCCGGGTAAGCCAGGCCCTGCAAGATCCTGCAGTATCCTGCACCCAAGCCCAGGCCCGGGTTCATGCAGCCCTGGCCCTGCAGGATCCTGCCAGCTCTGGCGCTCTGACTGCCCCCCGCTTGCATTGACCCCCGTCTCTTGAGCCCTGATCGTGCTCTGCAGGATGCCGACCGGGCTCAGCCAGCCCTGACATGCTCGCCTCATCAAAAAAAATAACGGCTCAAGGTCTTCGGATGTTTTCGGCCTCTGGGGGCCTCTCGCCGGGCCCCCAGGCGGTCAAACAACGGCCCACGAGAAGGAACCTGCCCCTGGGGAAAAAGGCCACGACTTCCGGGGACTGCGTGCTGAAAAATAGCTTGGCAAGAGGCCCAACCAAATGCGGCTGTGATCACCGTCGTTGAATGTACCGCATTAGGGGGAGCTCCCTATGAGGCCATCAAACGTGTGAGGGGTGTGCCATAATGGGTGCGGTGGGCGCATGCGAGCGCAGCCACTGGGGCCGTCGGTGGAACTCCCTGTGGGGCCACGAAACCTGTGAGGGGTGTGCCGAAATTTGCGCGGTGGGAGCGTGCGAAAGCAGCCAGTGGGGCAGTCAGCAGATTTCCCTTACGGGGCCACGAAGCGTGTGATGGTGTACCAAATGTGTGCGGCGGGAGCATGCGAACGCAGCCGCTGGGGCCGTCGGTGAACCCTGATGGGGCCACGAAGCGTGTGAAAAGTGTGCCAAAACGGGCGCGGTGGGCGCATGCGAACTCTGGCATCTGGGCCTTCGGTTGAGTTCTCTACAGGGTCACGAAACGTGAAGGGCGTGTGCCGAAAGAGAAGTATGCGGAGGGCAGAATTCAGGATGGGAGGAAGGGGCGGAGAAGGAGAGGAGAGGACAGGGACGCGGGGCGCTGTCTCTTCAAAACGGCGACCCAACACCACGGAAATTGCGTGGGAAAAAACAAACAGATGCAGCTGCGATTACTGCCACTGTACGCGCCGCATTCGGAGGAGCTCCGTACACGGAACGTGTGCGTGGTGTGCCAAAGTGGGTGCGGTAGGCGCGTGCGAACGCAGCCACTGGGGCCGCAGGTGGAGCTGTCAGTGGGGCCACAAAGCGTGTGACGGATGTGCCAAAATGGGTGCGGTGGGCGCGTGCGAACGCAGCCACTGGGGCCGTCTGTGAGGCTCCATATAGGGTCACGAAGCGTGTGAGGGGCGCACCAATATGTGCGAAATGCGCGCGTGCGAATTCATCCACTGGGGCCTTTCGTGGAGCTCCCGATGGGTCCAAGAAGCGTGCGAAGGGTGTGCCAAAATGGGCGCGTCGAGCACATGCGAACTCTGGCGCCTGGGCCTTCGGTTGAACTCCCTATGGAGTCACGAAACGTGTGACGGGTGTGCCAACATTGGGCGCATGCGAACGCAGCCACCTTGGCAGTCGGTGGAGCGACCTGTCGGGCCACGAAACGTATGAGGAGTGTGCCGACATGAACACGGTGGGCGCATGCGAACGCAGCCACCAGGGCCGTCGGTCAAGCTCCCCACGGGACCATGCAACGTGTGAGGGGCGTACCAACATGTGCAAGGTGGGCGCATGCGAACGCAGTTATTGGGGCCGCCGGTGGAGCTCCCGATGGGGCACAGAAGCGTGCGAGGGGTGTGTCAAGAGAGGTGCGGTGGGCGCATGCGAACGCTGACATGTGGGCCATCGGTGGAGTGACCTATGGCGCCACGAAACGTGTGAGGGGTGTGCCGAAATAGGAACACGTGGAGGGCAGAGGCAAGGAGGGGGAAGAGGGAGGATGGCGAGGAGGATGAAGGAAGGAAGCGGGGCGCTGTCTCTTCAAAACGAAGACCCAACTCCACATGATGGTTTGGGAGAAATACCTAGTGACTACCCAACCCTTTTTCTGTATACATATATACACATACATATACAGATAGGACCGTTCACTGCTCACACGTCTTGTTGAAGGACTCGCAGTGCGCATGAACTCCCAGAAGTACGCAAGAAATCCTACGGGAAAAAACAAGCTAGAGACGGAGACAAAAGCATACAGAGGGGTGTGAAGGAGGGACAGACATGTTCAGAAAACAGCAACAGCGCCGAGCGCTACATACCTGGGAAAGAACAGCGCAGTGCGCTCGCTCTATAGCAGAACGGCGTGTCGCACTGAGCGGGGCCAGCGCGGGGTGGCGTGGCGGGCCAGAGGCAGCCGAGGATGGGAGGCCACGCGGACAAAAAGCAGCGCCATGCGCTGCGTGGCGACGCAGCTCCCTGCGAGCTGCGATGCGACAGCGCCGAGCGCTGCGAGCCGCGACAGCGCCCCGCCCGTGCCCATCTGCTCCGCTGGACCTCCCAGGAACCCACGACACTGGCGACCGTGGCGCACTCCGCACCCCCCGGAGGGAAGCCGCGAGGTCTCAACGGGAGCCCCGTGCGACTCCACTCCGAGGGTCCTCCCAGAAGCCAACGAAGCAGGCGACAAATCCACACTTCGCAGCCCCCCAAGGAAGTCGCGAGGTCCCAACGGGATCCCCGCGTACCTCCACTCCGCGAGACCTCCCAGGAGTCCACGAAAGTGGCGACAGGTTCATACTTCGCAGCCCCCCAGGGAAGTCGCGAGGTCCCAACTGGATCCCCGCGTACCTCCACGCCGCGGGACCTCCCAGGAGTCCACGAAAGTGGCGACAGGTTCATACTTCGCAGCCCCCCAGGGAGTCGCGAGGTCCCAACTGGATCCCCGCGTACCTCCACGCCGCGGGACCTCCCAGGAGTCCACGAAAGTGGCGACAGGTTCATACTTCGCAGCCCCCCAGGGAGCCGCGAGGTCCCAACTGGATCCCTGTGAAACTCCACGCCGCGGGACGTACCAGGAGCCCACGAAAGTGGCGACAGTTGCGCGCCTCGCAGCACCCCAGGGGGCCGCGAGGTTTCAACTGGATCCCCGTACAACTCCACGCCGCAGGACCTCCCAGGAGCCCACGAGAGAGGCAGCGGACATGACACCACAGTGCTCTGTTCAAAAACGAGAACCCAACCCAACACAGGAGGGATTGGAAAACCATCGCATGTCCGGGGGTCGAATCTGGCTCAGGCGCCGCACCTGGCTCGGAAGGGAAGAGCCTGGGGCGGGGCGGCTCGCGGGGGCCGCGCCTCCTTGGCCTTCTTTATCCGGGACATCAGGATGGCGCTCGGGTTGTCGCAGTTGGCAAGGGGCCCTCGCAGGGCTACAGACCGACCAGCACCGCCAGGCCCTCCCCTGCGGGCCCCGAAAGCATACACCACCGCCACGTCGACTCCTCCCCTCTTCTCCACCTCCTTCTTCCTCGCCTCTCTCCTGGGAGATGAAGGGGGGTGAGGGACGTGGTGGTGGTGTATAATTAGGCTCGGCTACACGCAAGAGTGACCCTGGGTAAAGGTGACCTTTGGTGCGCGACTTTTGGGTGGCCGCGGGGGGGGTCAAACCCAGGCGCGCAAGACGCTACTATCGCATCGCGTTCGGTGATCGGGAGACCACATTGGGCCCGCACCAAAGGTCACTCTGGCGAAAGGTCACTCTTACGTGTAGTCGATAGGTGTGGGCCCCGAATCCCCAGCCTCGCCCCGGACCCAGATTGATGGTGGACGGGGCCCGCCGACGGCCACCCAGATCTAGGCTCTGGGCCCCGAGTGGGCCTGCCCTCGACCGAGATCCGGCCCCGACAGAACTCGCAGCAACTGTGACACAGGACGAGGATTACATCGGGTGAGGACAGATCGAATCTCTGAGATCTGGCGGCTCTGGACGATGACTCGGGCGCCGCGGCCTTCCCGGAGCGTTCCAGAACGCTCGGAGAGCGTTCCGGAACGTTTTGGAACGGATTTGTCCTCGTCCTAGCCCTGTCCAAATTTGTGAGGGACCCTGGTGGCCCGAAGCCAGGGCGATCAGGCCCGTCGTCATCCTTCCACGATGCCCGGATGCTCGGCTGCCGGGAGGGTGGGATGCCATGGCTCGTGGAGTGCTTAACGACTTCTGCTGCCCCTCGACTCGCCCTGGAGCTTCCACGACTTGCCCCAGAGTTCCCTGGGTACCTTTTCGATTCACTTCGACCCACACGGACTCACACCGGTTTCTACCTGGACTTGCCGCGATCTGCCTGGCTCGAGTCGGGCAGATGGATTGGAGCAAAGTCGCTAAACCCTCAGGGACTGGTGCGTGCTGGTCAGCTCCCGCCCCGCGACCCTGGTCGTCGCGCTGTATGACCGCGCGCTGGATGTCCGGGGCCTCCTCGTGGGCGGCCCGCAGAGGGCGGGGTGGGCGGCGACGGGGTCGGCCCTCCCCGCACGGTCCGACAAAAATACGGCGCGGGGGCCTGCCCTGGAGGGCTCAGGTCGAGGGTTCACAACCCCCCCCCCGCTCCCCCCCCCAAGATGGGAGGGTCAAGGGGACGACGACGACGACGACGACGAAGACGACGACGGCACCATTCCACACGCACAGGGGGAGCCGTGGGGACACCAGCATCCCCCTCCACCCCGCCACGCCCACAGGGCCAAGACCACAGGGGGGGAGATCCCAATTGCAAGGCCTTTGCGAGGCTCACGGGCGTACCCATCCAGCGGGGGTGGGGGCGGCCGATCTTATTCGCATTGAAGAGCCCTGGATCGCACATCTCTCTCTCTCTCTATATATATATATATGTGTGCGCGAGGGTCATATACTATACTTCATGTTCTAAAGATCATAGATCATGCCTCGTATACCATGTTTCATATATCTTTGATCGTGCTTCATAACATATCATATCACACCATACCATATCACGCTATGTGACAAACCCTATCGTATCATAACACACCCATATACCTATGTATATATGTGTATACACACATATATGCAACTATATATATGAATGTTTAGATGTATATGTGTGTGTGTGCACGCATGCATATATATATATACACACACACATGTAGATACATCGATGTACGCGCACGAATCCTGGGGCCAGAGCTGGCCTGCTCTGGATCGGTGTGGGTGTACCGTTGACGCCCTGCGACCTCTGGGAGCGCACGCGGGCTCCCAGACCTCCGCTGATGCACCTCTCTGTCCGCCCCGCGCGCCCGACAGGGCCTCCAGGGACCCCCTCCCCCCGCGGGCAGCCCTGCGACCCGGAGCTCCACTCCCGACGGCCTTCTCATCAGCCCCGAGAGCCATGGATGCTATAAGAGTCTGCAGGGGCCGGAAGTTGCACCCGCGGGCGAGCTCAGGAAAACCCAGAGCCACAGGCCCATCACACCGTCGGTCTGAGCATTTTCTTGGGGTGGGGGGGCCAGGGTGAAATCCACATGGGCTTCGGCACCTCGAAAACCAGTCCGTCTTGTGATTCACCCCTCTTGCAGACTCAAGCAAAGGGAGGGTGTAATTCAACATCGTTGATGGTCTTGGGTTTACACTGGTCCTCCTCCTCCTCCTCCTCCTCCTCCTGCTCCTCCTCCCCCTCCTCCAGTCGAAGCGGCATCTCAGCCCTCGCCCTTTGCCCTCCGCCCGAAGAAGATGCCCAGCCCGTGGGGGCGCCCGACGGCGGGCCTCTCCGGCGGCCGCCGCGGGAGGCACGCGCCGCCGTCGGGCAAAGCCGCGTCGGAGGCCTGGGCCTCCGAGCGGGGGGGGGGGGCCGTGGATAAGGACTCCTCCTCCGCCTCCTCCTCCTCCTCCTCCTCCTCCTCCTCCTCCTCCTATCCTCCTTATCCCTCCTCCTCCTCCTCCTCCTCCTCCTCCTCTTCCTCCTCCTCCCCCTCCCCCTCCTCCTCCTCCTCCTCCTCCTCCTCCTCCTCCTCCTCCCTCCTCCTCCTCCTCCTCCTCCTCCTCCTCCTCCTCCTCCTCCTCCTCCTCCTCCTCCTCACGCTCCTCATCCTCCCTCGTTTTTAAGTTCCCCGCGGGGTGAAATCGTTTGTCGTTCGTCTCTTTGCCTCCGCCTCCCCCCTCGCAGGCGCACGCGGCCCCGTGGCCTCCCACCCCAGCAAAGCCTCCGGGCAGCTCCCAGTCCTCCAGGGACCAGGGACAAAAAGCGGCAGCACCAACACCAGCCAGAGGACCCAAGGGAGGGCCCCCGTTGCGGCCCGATCCCCCCTCCCCGCTCGAGACGCCCCCTGCGCCCAGCTGGGGGGCGCACCGTGGAGCTTCTCGGCTGGAGGTCGCACACCTGGCGTGGGGCAACCAAGAGAGATATCGATACCGCTGCTCCCGGGACCTCTCCCGGGGTGCGTCCTGACCAGAACTTCGAAGCGAAGCCAGCGGTGGCGACAAGGGGCTCCCAGGAGGCCCCAAGGGGCCCAAACGAGGCAAGGCTAGCAGCAGCGGCGCCTTGTCCTCCTCGAAGCGAACCCAGCGGTGGCGACAAGGGGCTCCCAGGAGGCTCCAAGGGGCCCACACGAGGCAAGGCTAGCAGCAGCGGTGCTTTGCCCTCCTCGAGGCGGTGATCGCGGTGGCGCCGCATCTTGACGTCCTCCCACCCTCTCCCGGAGCGGCCGCGCCCCCCTCGGGTCTCCTGCCGCAGCGCGTCCGCCGCCCGGGCGTCGAGCGCGGGGTTCTTCTGGATGAAGTCCTCCACCTCGGACCTGCCCCCCGACGGCGGGCTGTGCGCCGGAGTCGCTGGTGGCGCCATGCCCGGCGGCGGCGCAGCGTCGAAGCCGCCTGCAGGGGAGCTCGGAGGGCGCGGGCGAAGGGGAAGGAAGAGCGAGAGGGAGACACATATATATATATATATATATATATATATACATATACATAAACATATACATATACATATACACATCTAACAATTATATAGAGAGAGGGGAGAGAGAACTATAGAGAAATTGGGGGAAAGAGAGGGAGACAAATAGAGAGAGAGAGAGGGAGGTGGTACTAGCGGGACCATAGGCAGGAAGGACCGGTAAGGGAATAGTGGGGGTAGGGGGAGGTGAGCAGAAGGAAAAGGGGGAGAGGTCCTCGTCCGCCTTGCCCCCCTCCTCGTCCTGGTCATCGTCGACGTCCTCCTCCATCCTCGTCCTCGACCATGCAATTTCTTCAAAAATCGCGCTTTCGACGCTCAGGAAACACGCTACACCAAGGACGCCGTTACAAATTACATAATAATCGCGCCCTCGCCATGCTCAGGCATCCCGCTTGAATGTCCCACCCGCCCGACCCGCCCGTCAGGGGATCGCCCGCCCGTCGTGGGCTTCCGCCCGAGACTTCCTTCAGGAACGGCGCTTTCGCCTAGGACTTCCTCGAACGTTCACGCTCTTACCTTCCTGCTCCTCCTCCCTTTCCCTCCTCCCTCCTCCCTCCTTTCCTCTCTTCTCTCTCCCTCCTCTCTTCCCTCATCCTTATGCCTCTCTGCCCTATCCTCTCTCCCTCCTCTCCCTCCTCCCTTCTCCCTCCCCTCTCCTGCCTCCTCCCTCCCTCTTTCTTTTTCTCTATCCCGTCTGTCTCTCCCCGTCTCTCCCTTTCTTTCTGTCTTGCTCTTTCTCTCTCTCTCTCTCTCTCTCTTTCTCTCCCTCTCTCTCTGCACCTCTCTTATCTGTCTTTCTCTCTCTCTCTCTCTCTGCCCCCAATCAACCGGACCCCTCTTCGTTCCTTCCCCTCCCTTCCTCCCGCTCTCCCTCGTTTTCCCCCCTCGTCTGTTTGCAGGGCCCACACCAATTCCAATGGCAGGCACATGTACGCCCACGAAGGATTGTCCGCCCGTTCAGGTTTGCCCGCCTGTCTACGCCCGCCGCCCCCCGCAAAGAGAAAGAAACCCCCCAAAGGTGGTGTGATCGAAGACGCAAAGGGCGGGTTTGGGGGGACTCGTTCTGAATGACACACGGGCAAGTGAAAGCGAACAGTCTTAGAATTATTGTTGTTGTTGACTCCTCTCACTTCTGAGAAAGATGATTATGGTTTATCCTCGCTCACCGGTGCATGCTGTTCCTTCTCAATCAAAGTGTGCCCCTCGACGCTCGCACCCTGTTTTTTTGACAGGGAAAATATTGATGCTCGAACTGTGCCCCTGGCCCCCCGGATTACAACAACAACGGTTCCCGCCGGAGACTTCCTCCAAATTTACTCAAGACCCCCGCTCCGGCCTGAGATTTCCTCACAATGTAGTCAAGATTGGTGCTCCCGTCTTCGATTGCCTCGTTGTTTAGTCAGGACCCCCGCTCCCATCTGAGACTTCCTTACACTTTACTCAGGAACGGCGCTCCCGCTTGAGACTGCCTCGCAATTCAACCCAAACTTCCCCGCAAGTTAATCAAGACCCCCGCTCCCGCCAAAGAACCCATCACATGTTATTTAGGAGTTGCGCTCTCGCCTGTGACCTCCATGCAATTTATTCAGAAATCGCGCTTTCGACGCTCAGGAAACACGCTGCGCCAAGGACGCCGTCAAAATTAGTTAAGAATCGCGCTCTCGCCATTCTCGGGCATCCCGCTTGAATGTCCCACCCGCCCGACCCGCCCGTCAGGGGATCGCCCGCCCGTCGTGGGCTCCCGCCCGAGACTTCCTTCAGGAACGGCGCTTTCGCCTAGGACTTCCTCGAACGTTCACGCTCTTACCTTCCTGCTCCTCCTCCCTTTCCCTCCTCCCTCCTCCCTCCTCTCCTCCCTTCTCTCTTCCCCCTCTCTTCCCTCATCCTTATGCCTCTCTGCCCTATCCCCTCTCCCCCCTCTCGCTCCTCCCTTCTCCCTCCCCTCTCCTGCCTCCTCCATCCCTCTTTCTCTCTTTCTTTCTCTCTCTCTCTCTCTCTCTCTCTCTCTATATATATATATCCCACCCATCCCTCTCTCTCTTTCTCTTCCTCTCTTATCTGTCTTTCTCTCTCGCTCTCTTTTTCTCTCGCTCCCTCTCTCCCTTTCTCTCTTTCTCTCTCACTCTCTCTCTTTCTCTTTCTGCCTCTAATCGACCGCCCCACTCTTCGCTCCTTCTCTCCTGGCGTTGTCCCTCTTCCTTCGTCCCTCCCCCTCCCTTCCTCCCGCTCTCCCTCGTTTTCCCCCCTCGTCTGTTTGCAGGGCCCACACCAATTCCAATGGCAGGCACATGTACGCCCACGAAGGATTGTCCGCCCGTTCAGGTTTGCCCGCCTGTCTACGCCCGCCGCCCCCCGCAAAGAGAAAGAAACCCCCCAAAGGTGGTGTGATCGAAGACGCAAAGGGCGGGTATCGAGGGTGTGGGGGACTCGTTCTGAATGGCACACGGGCAAGTACGAGCGAACAGTCGTGTAATGCTTGTTGTTGTTGCTGTTGAACTCTCACTTCTGAAGAATAAATAATAGGTGTTGGTCCCCCTCACCGGAACATGCTGTTTTTCTTAATAAAAAAAATGCCTCTCGACGCTCGCACTCTGTTTTTTACCAAAGAAAAATTGATGCTCAAACTGTGCCCCTGGCCCCGGGGTTCCAACAACAACGGCTCCCGCCTGAGACTTCCTCACAATTTAGCCAGGACCCCCGCTCCCGTCTGAGACTTCCTCGCAGCTTATTCAAGAATCGCGCTCTCGCTCAGGACTTCCGGACAATTTATGTAAGAATCGTTCTCTCGGCGCTCTGGAGTCGCGCTCTCGCTGGAGATTTGCTTGCAACCTACTTACGAATCACGCCCTTGCGTTCGAATTCCCCACCATTTATTCAGGCGCCACACTCCTAACACTCAGGCACCCAGGAGTCTCGCTCACGCTTAGGACTCCCTCACAGATTATTCAGGAAACAGGACCTCGCTACCCTTCGTGGCCCCGTTGTAACCTTTCGTGGTTCCCTCGCTGCCCTTCGTGGACCCGTTGCACCCCTTCGTGGCCCCCTCGCTGCCCTTCGTGTCCCTCGCTGCCCTTCGTGGCCCCGTTGCACCCCTTCGTGGCCCCCTCGCTGCCCTTCGTGGCCCCGTTGCACCCCTTCGTGGCCCCGTTGCAGCCCTTCGTGGCCCCCTCGCTGCCCTTCGTGGCCCCGTTGCAGCCCTTCGTGGCCCCCTCGCTGCCCTTCGTGGCCCCGTTGCACCCCTTCGTGGCCCCCTCGCTGCCCTTCGTGGCCCCATATATGTATGCCCTTCGTGGCCCCCGCTCGTTCGCGCCCGTCGTGGCTCCATCGGCATGCCCTTCGTGGCCCCACTGTCGCCCTTTGTGGGTGGCCCCCTCGCTGCCCTTCGTGGCCTCGTTGCTGCCCTCAGTGGCCCCGTCTTTGCCCCCCGCAGCCCAATATATGTTTGCCCATCGTGGCCCCAGTTCGCTCGGGCCCATCGTGGCCCCATGTGCATGCCCTTCGTGGTCCCGCTGTCGCTCTTCGTGGCCCCCTCGCTGTCCTACGTGGCCCAGTTGCTACCCTCAGTGGCCCCGTCGTTGCCTTCGGTGGCCCTGCATTATCTGCCCTTCGTGGCCCCCGCTCGTTCGCGCTCTTCGTGGCCCCATACGCATTCCCTTCGTGTCCCCGCTGTCGCCCTTCGTGGCCTACTTCGTGACCTTGGTGGCCCCGCTGTCGTTCTCTCTCTCGCTCTCGCTCTCGCTCATCGTCGTCGTCGTCGTCGCCGCCGCCGTCGTCGTCGTCGTCGACGTCGTCGTCGTCGTCGTCGACGTCGTCGTCGTCGTGGTCGGTCCCCTGTCCATCCCTCTTGGGGTCGGGCTGCCGCCGATCAGCGCTGCCGCTGGCCAGGCCGACGGTCCGCGGCCGCCCCGCCGCTTGCCGGGGCCCTTGGGAAATACGCGTTAACGGACACTCGAGCAGATAAGTGCGAACAGTCTTAAAATGATTCTTGATTTCTCATTTCAAACGAATTATTATTGTTGATCCATTCTCACCGGTGCATGCGGCTTTTTCTAAATAGAAGTGTGCCCTTCGACTCTCGCACCCTGTTCTTCGACAGGGGAAATATTGATGCTCAAACTGTGCCCCTGGCCCCCAGGATAACAACAACAACGGTTTCCGCTTGAGACTCCCTCATGATTTCGCCAGGACCCCCGCTCCCGCCTGAGACCTCTTCACAATTTACTCAGGATCGGTGCTCCCGCCGGTGACTTCCTTGCAATTTAATCAGGACCCCCGCTCCCATATGAGACTTCCTTACAAATTACAGCGGAACGGCGTTCCCGCTTGAGACTTCCTTGCAATTGGATCAAGACGTCATCGCAATTTAATCAAAACCCCCGCTCCCGCCAGAGAACCCCTCGCATGTTATTCAGGAATTGCGCTGTCGCCCGTGACTTCCATGCGATTTATTGAAAAATCGCGCTTTCGATGTTCAGGTTCAGGAAACACGCTGCACCAAGGACGCCGTTACAAATTACGTAATAATCGCGCTCTCGCCATGCTCAGGCATCCCGCTTGAATGTCCCACCCGCCCGACCCGCCCGTCAGGGGATCGCCCGCCCGTCGTGGGCTCCCGCCCGAAACTTCCTTCAGGAACGGCGCTTTCGCCTGTGAGACCCTCGAGCGTTCACGTTCTTACCTTCCTGCTCCTCCTCCCTCTCCGTTCCTCCCTCCTCCCTCCTCTCCTCCCTGCTCTCTCCCTCCTCTCTTCCTTCATCCTTATGCCTCTCTGCCCTATCCCCTCTCCCTCCTCTCCCTCCTCCCTTCTCCGTCCCCTCTCCTGCCTCCTCCCTCCCTCAATATGTATATATATATACAGATATATATATATATATATATATATATATTAATATATATATATATATATATACATACATACATACATACACCTCTCTCATATATCTGTTTGTTTGTTTTTCTCTCTCTCTCTGCCTCTAATCAACCGCCCACTGTTCGCTCCTTCTTTCCTGGCGTTTTCCCTCATCCTTCGTCCATCCCCCCCTTCCTCCCTGTCTCCCTCGTTCTCCCCCTCCTGTTTTTGCAAAGCCCACACCAATTTCAATGGCTGGCACATGTACGCCCACGAAAGATTGTCCGCCCGTTCAGGTTCGCCCGCCTGTCTAAGCCCGCCGCCCCCCGCAAAGAGAAATAATCCCCCCAGAGGGGGTGTGATCGAAGACAAAAAGAGCGGGTATCGAGGGTGTGGGGAGCTCGTTTTGAATTCTTGGTGTTGTTGTTGTTTGTTGTTTGTTGTCGCCGTCCCACCCGCGACACCCTCCGCAACCCACCCCGCGACCCAACCCGCAACCCACCCCGCGACCCACCCCGCGACCCACCCCGCGACCCACCCCGCGACCCACCCGCAACCCCCCCGCGAACCACCCGACCCACCCCGCGACCCATCCGCGACCCGTCCGCGACCCACCCGCGACCCACCCTGCGACCAACCCGCGGCCCACCCCGCGACCCACCCGCAAGGGAGGAGAAACCACCCGGACCCGACAATTGACGTTTACTAAAGAGAGAGCGTGATCCACCGCCGCTTTACTGTGGAAAATTGCCCCCCTTTTCCTCGGGAGCCCGGGGGTCCCCCCCCCACCCCCTCCGAAAATCCCCCCCCCCACCCCTGCTGGAACCCCCCTCCCCCCCGCCCTTCCCCCCCTCCCCCAGCAAAACCCTCCCCCCTCCCCTAACCCCTCCCCCCCCCCCCCCCGAAAACCAGGGGGGTCACTACCGGTTCGAACCCCTCCCCCCCCATCCATCATGAAAGGGGGGGGTCACTACCGGTTCGAACCCCTCCCCCCCCCTCCCTCTCGAAAGCCGGGGGGGGTCACTACCGGTCGAAGCCCCCCCCCCCCTCCTCCCCTCCCTCGAAAACCGGAGGGGGGGTCACTACCGGTTCGAACCCCTCCCCACCCCCCCCACTCACCGCCAGCAAACGACTGCCAGTCCCTACCACCGTCCGCACCACATCCCCCACTGTTGTTCCCAGCACCACTGTCCTCACCAACGCTGTCCCCACTGGTTCCAGCACCGTCCCTACTGTCCCCACCAGTGCCCCCACCACTGTCGCAGTGTCCCCACTGTCCCCACCACTTTTCCCACCACGGTTCCACTCTCCCCACTTTCTCCACGGCCCCAACCACTGCCCGACTATCCCCACTGTCCCCACTGTCCCACTGACTCCTCCGCTGTCCCACTGAGCCGTCCCACTGTTCCCACCACTGTTCCCACTGTCCCCACCACTGTCCCCACTGTACCTCTGTCCCATTGTCCCACCGCCGTCCTCGCCACCGCCTTCACCACTGTCCCCACCGCCACTGTACCCTCCACTGTCCAACTGTTTCCACCACATTACCGCTGTCCCCACACCAGTGTCCCCACCACCACCTTCCCCACCACTGTCGCACTGTCCCCACTGTTCCCACCATTGTCCTCACCACTGTCCCCACCATTACCGTCCCCACCACTGTCCCACTGTCCCCACCACTGTCCCGCTGTCCCCTCACCACTGTCCCCACCACCACCGTCCCCACCACTGTCCGCACCCCCTCGGTTTTCGAGGGGGGGGTGGTTCGAACCGGTAGTGACCCCCCCCGGTTTTCGAGAGGGAGGGGGGGGGGAAGGGGAAGGGGTTGGAACCGGTAGTGACCCCCCCCCCTTTTCATGATGGACTGCGGGGGGGGGGGTTCGAACCGGTAGTGACCCCCCCCGGTTTTCAGGAGGGGGGGGGGGAGGGGTTCGAACCGGTAGTGACCCCCCCCGGTTTTCCGCCAGCAGCGGTAGAACACGCTCTTTCTTACTAAACGGCCCTGGGCGTTTACTAAACAGCCCTACCCTTTTCGATTCATTCCTTGCGCACGTTTACTAAACAGCTTCGCTTGTCGGGGTGATTATGATGGGGTGGATTGTCTGCCCTCTACACCCGCGACCCACCCGCGACCCAACAGCGACCCACCCGCGACCTACCCATATTGGTTTAACGAAAAAATCGGCGCCTGCGGAGGGCTCGTTGTATAATGTGTGAAACTTTGGCGCCTGCGGCGGGCTTCTCCAGAGTCTCGCAAACTGCCGACGTCCCCTTCGCCCCCTCACTCTTATCCGCATTTGCGGGGTGCTATCAGAAGCCCGAAGGGTCTTTAATGCTGCGCCCCCCCCCTTAAGCTCTTTGCGGGGAGTAGAGACTCGTCCCTCCTCCTCCCCCTCCCTCCTCGTCCTCCCTCCTCCTCCTCCTCGTCCTCGTCCTCTTCTTCCTCCTCCTCCTCCTCCTCCTCCTCCTCCTCCTCCTCCTCCTCCTCCTCCTCTCTCGCCTTCCTGCTTGTTTGTCCTTTGTCCCCCACTCTCGGCGCGGCCGCGCGCCCGCGCGGCGAAACACGCCGTGCGCGCGGAAGCCCGCTGTCCAGTGGGCCGCCCGCGCGACCTCTGGCGGTGGCGGCCCGGCGCCACGTGCCCCCGGCTCGGCCCCGCTTGGCGACGGGCACGTCGGCGGTGGCGCGGAAGCTGTCCGCCCACTCCTGGCACGAGGAGGCCCTGGGCTCCCCTCTGTGAAGGGGCCCCGGGACACACAAATAGATACACACACGTAAAAATATGTTCCCATATTGTTAGGGTTTTCGTCTTCCCCCCCAATTCCAATATTTTCCATATTTTCCTGGGAATCGACGATGAATTGTGTCTGTGTGTTTTTCCCCTCCTGACTCTGGACCCGGTCAGCGTCTCAGCCCACTCGGCTGACATGTTCGGGTTTCTTGGCACACTCGGCCGCCGGAGGAGCTCGATGCCATGTCCACTCGGAGGCCGAATGGGCTCACAAGGAAACCCAGGGGGGGAGGGGGAGGGGAAATGATTCTGGATGGCAGGATGGCAGGAGGACGCCAACGATACACAGATGTGTACCGATTCTGACCTGGCCCATACTGGCCGCAGGATCGGCGTATACGCGCCCCTGGCTTCGCGGTGAAGGGACACGTGTAGGTCCATGTTCGGCGTTCCCCGAGGGGAATGTCGAATACACGGGAAAAATATGAGTGCACACGACTCCTCAACCAGAGTCGAGCAGATCAGCGCGGCACACGCGAACACGCGGCTGCACACTGACAAGCGCTGCCGATTGCAAAGAGGGAAAGAACTTGTTAAGCTCGGGAGCAGTGGGTCAAGAAGACCAGGACGGGTCGAAGCAAGAGAAGGCGGATGGAATGAATGATGATGGTGATGATGATGATGATGATGAAGAAGATAAACATGATGCTGATGCGGATGATGATGATGATCACTGTAATGATGAGGCTGAAGAGGATGATGATGAGGATGATGAGGCTGAAGAGGATGGTGATACTGACGACGATGATGGTGGTAATGATGAAACTGATAATGATGATGCTGATGAAGATGATGATGATGATGGTGATGATGATGATGATGATGATGATGTTAATGATGATGATGATGCTGATGCTGATGATGATGATGATGATGATGATGATGATGATGGTGATGATTGTGACGATGGTGGTGGTGATGATGATGATGATGATGATGATGATGATGATGATGATGACTAGAATCATCGCACGTGCTTCGCGTGCGCTCAGATTCTAGCCCAGGCCCAGGCCAGGGGGAGGGGCTGGAAGATCTTGGGCAGCGCTATCACACGCAGGCGCGTGACGTAATCGTACCCGTCCTCACCCACATCCAGATTTCAGACCTAACCTGTCTACTCTTCATCACCCTGGTCCTCGTGATCATAACTGCCATCATGATCATACTCACTACCAACGTCATCAGCAACACCGTGGAGAACATCCGTGGTCCAGTGCTGCGAGCCATAACAAAACGTCAAGCTCGCGTACCGTCATGGTCGCCATCATCATCCTCATCCTTGTCTGTGTCATCATCATCGGTCCCAAATCCTTCCTGCAGCCAGAAACTTTTACTTAGCATGTCGCGGCGGCGACCCCTGCGACGCGCCGTGCCCTGAGTGTCACACCGCTTCGCTGGGCTGGAAGGCTGCACAATGCTCGGGACGCGATGAAGAGCACTATCCGGATGATGCGCCTCTGAATCTCGTCACGAATGTGTGGCTTCCTGGCTGTCTCCGGGGAGCCTTGCAAGGGCATGTAGGGGGCGCCTTGGGGGTCTCTTTGAGCCTCTGGCGGGGGGGGGGGCATCGTGGGGCCTCTTGGGGGGGCATCGTGGAGACTTTGGAGCCTCTTTCGGACCTCTTCGGAGCGTCTCCGGGACTCCATGAGCTTTCTCTCGGGGCCGCTGGAGCCTGCAGAGCTAGATACGCAATGGCGGACCATCCCCTACGGCAGCAGGAGGAAAAGGAAGAGAAGCAGAAGGGGAGGAGGAGGAGGAGGAGCAGGAGGAGGAGAAGGAGGAGGAGCAGGAGGAGGAGGAGGAGGACGCTGAGGGCGAGGAGGGGGCGCAAGAGGAGGAGGCATGGGGGAGTCCATCTTCGAGTCGAGTGGTTTGCGGCGGTCTCTGGAGAGCCTCCGAGCCCGCTGCCCTATTCCTCGTCCGGTTGGGGGTGGGGTGGGCGAAGCAAGAACGCAAACTTGCAGTATTCTCAAGAACGCAAACTTGCAGTATTCTTAAGTCGGGCCTGTCCCCCGACATGGGGATTTGGGACGAAACATAAAAAGTCAAAACATATTTTAAGCATGCGCAAACATGCAAGAAAAAACGTTTCCAGACTATTGTTTGACTATTTTTGAACACTCCTCCTGTAGAGGGACACGCCCGACTTCACCCTACTCCCCGTCCTGCTGGGGGTGGGGTGGGCGAAGCAAGAACGCAAACTTTCAGTATTCATTTGTGCGTCCATTGACGCATGCCCCAACGGGACCACGGCACTGCGGGGCCAACGTGTGAGCTGAGCATGTTTTTTTACCAGCCTCGAACGTATCCCTATCCTTAAGATTGACACGCCAAAAGGCGATAACAATCTTAGGGATTCGCCCTCAAAAAATAAGGGGATCCCTAAGATTGGCATCGTGATGAGGAGGTGCCCAGCATAGGGATAGGGATATGTTCCAGGCTGGTAATGATTGGCTTGCCCGTCCTTCGGCCCACCGGTCTCCACCCTCCTCCACGACGCTCGGTGGGCGAGAAACTACTGCAAGCACATCTGTCCGCCCTTCGTCTCCCTATCCTATCCCTCCTCTGCGGGAGAGGGGGGCAAGGGGCAAGGCAAACAATTGACCCTGCATGTGTGCAGATAGTATACGTAATACTCTATTCCTCCTCCTCCTCCTCCTCCTCCTCCTCCTCCTCCTCCTCCTGTGAAGAGCAGGTTTGCAGGGGGAGGCGGGCGCAGGGGTGGTTTTCAGTGTTCTAAAACCAGGACGTAACCATCAAACTTTCCAAAAACAGCAGAGGTAAGGACCGTACAAAGTCAACATGGAGGTCCCGCAAAACAAAACATCTACGCGTTCCTCCTAAGTGTGCCGATTTCGACAACAATAACAGCAATTCCCTAAAGTCGCATGCGGGCTTGGCAAAATTTGGCAAACGTGCCAAGGGCTGGCACAACAGCACGCTGTGGCGTACCATGATCATTCCCAAGCAAAATCGCAGCGCCCAGCAGGTGTTTCATTACAAACAGGTGTGGCAAGCAGCCGCAGGTCCATTTGCGCGCGGCCGAACGCCAGGAAGAGAGGAAAGGGCGCATCGGCGCCACCGACCGCAATGCATTTGTTTTACCCACTGGGGGCCGCGCACACACGACGTGCGCCAGTTTTTTGCAAACGTCGTCATTTCAGGCCCACATTCCAACGCGAGCGCTTAAAATGCACGAGCTCTCGAAGGTCCCCCCTCGTCATGCGCATTTCAAGTGCGCGAGGCGCGCGGACGGCGAGGGCGTCCTCGCGCGCACGATCGTGGGCGAATGCGCCCACCAATGCGCTGCCCGCGCGTTCACTCAGAGAGTTGCTCTCTGATGTTCGCACCGTGTTCCGAACCGACAGCGGCATTCGCTTCTCGGGGCACGGTGCCGGCCACCACGCGCGCGTCAACATTTGCGCGCTACTGGAAGGTTTGAGCCAAAATGGCAACGGGCCACAACGCAGAGGAGTGGGGGGCCAGAAAGAGCGACGAAAGATTGGAGGAGGAAGAGATTTTTGAGACCATTGGGGGTGGCAGGTGGCCGTGCATGTGACACTCCAACCCCTGCGAGTTATACCACGCGCACTTTCAGGTGTGAAGTGGAAGCCCTCCTCCCTTACTCCCCCTCTTCCTGGCGTGCTCCTCTGCTATCCTTTTGCATCCGCCTTCGCCTTCTCTCATCCCGCCCCCGTGACTACATCCTCTCAGCTTCGGCCTCCTCCTCATTCTCTCCATCCCTGTCCTGTTCCTTCTCCTCCTCCTCTGCCTTTGCCTCCTCGGCTCCTCCCCTTCTTGCGGCGCAAGCCGAAAGCAGAGCGCGGCGCCCTCGGCCCCTTCCCCGGGCCCTGGCTGGGACGCGCTCGCGGCGGCAATGGAGGCCGACCGTTGCCCAGGCAAGAGAGCGTCAGAGGGCAGGGCGAGGAGCGACGAAGCAAAGAAGAGGAGAGGAGAGAGGAGAGGCTAAGTGGAAACGGGGCCACTTTGAAGGGGGAGGGGCGGTGCGTGGCAGAAGTAGCACACGGGCTGGAGGGTGCCGCGAGATGCTCCCACTTTCGACGTCGCAATGCGCCACCCAACGCATCGATCTTCGGGCGCAAACGCCCCTGCAGCCTGTAGCCACCAGCTTGCACAACGAAGCGAGGGAGGTCTCTCTTGAGAGGGGCAGTGGAAAGAAAGGGGTCGGTGCGAAGGAGGGCAGGCGGGCGGAAAAGGTGGCAGTGGCAGAGGGCAGTTGGGCGGATGACGAGGTGACGAAAGAGAGGATGAAAGGTGGCAGTAGCTGGAGTTGCTGGCGGGGCGGGGCTGATGCGGCTGGTGGCCAGGGCCAGCGCGCTGCTCGGGCGGTGGCGGCGGGCGGGCAAGGCGGCGAGACCTTCCCCCCCACTCCCAACGCCAGAGAGTGAGAACATGAGTGCGTGAGTGAGTGAGCGAGTGAGTGAGTGAGTGAGTGAGTGACTCGATGGGCGTGAGAGTGAGTGAATGAGTGAGTGGGCGCGCGAGTGATTGAGCGAGTGGAAGCGTGAGTGAGTGAGCGAGAGATAGATGGCGGGTGGGATAGGGGGGTAGAAGAGGCAGAGTGAGATAGGGCAGGACAGACAATGGCCGAGCGTTAAGGGTCGGGATGGTTCGAACGCCCGAGCGGAGCCCGAGCATTCGATGCCTCTCTGGCGGCCCACCTGGGGTCTCGAGTCGAGACCGTCGAGTTTCGATCCTCGAGGTTCAGGGCCGTTGGTTGTTCGGGGTTCGGGGGATTTTGGACTTGGGCCAACCTTGGGCCCCTTGAGCCCAGGACGCTGGGGGCATTTCTCCTTCCTCCTCCCCCTCTTACCCCCCCCCCCCCCCCCCTCCTCCTCCAAGAGGCGGGAGAGATAGAGAGAGCGAGAGAGAGACTTGAGGGAAATATACGGAG